CTGAAAGCTTCAATCAAACAAGTCCACTTAAACAACGTGGTCAGCATCCAATGTCGAACACTTAGAAAGCTATTGATTTTGAGGAATTATTTACAGCTACAGTATCAACCTTCATGTTCACAAATCCTGCTACCGTATAAATAATCGGATAATGGAGAAGGTAAATATGTTCAGTGTAAAATGCATGCATTAAGGTGGCTCGTTATCAGACGCTGGTATCGTCTGACCTGGGACTCAACCTCTTATGACATGAAATCTATGATTGAGCTAACCGTCGCCCGAAATCAAATCAATGAAGTTGTGAAGACTGGATTCGGATATACGAGCTTCAGAAGTCTCATAAAACACAATTAAGGCATCTGGAGACATTTGCACGTACTGTAGAACTTAAAAACTTTTGTTTGACATCTATTTATGCCACTTCTTACCTATATGTAATCATCTAATTCTGAAGTCCCGTCTAAAATTCGTGTTTACGTGATGCGTACAGCAGATTTTCGCAACATTGTTTGCGAAACTTATTTTTAGACTACGAATATAGATTTTTAGGACTTGCTTTTCCCTTAAATAATATGATCGATACATATGAGTAGTGGCAGCATTTATTTACAAGACCTAACCACTTAATTACACAGTAGCCAGAGTTCTCGACCATTATGTCACTGGCTTTTGCTTGGCTAACATGTCTTTTTTATTCCACGACCCAAAGCCGAACCAGGAAACATTCGAGTTTTGTACTTACAAAATAATCTTTCGTACCATAGAAAAATTTTTTCTTCCATTGACCCTAGAAGCGATACTACAAAATGCAGAGTTGATTATAGATCAACTCAGAAGCCGAAGTAAAGCATTACGATAGATCAAAAATTCATGATTAACCAGTAGAAATACAAAACCCTTATTATCCCGGCATTAAAATTGCCAACATGAGCTGCAAATCTTTAGAAAATATGCAACTTCATGATGAAAAGCAGTTTTAACTCCGACAACATCGTTATCAGATTAAATATTCGTAAAGTATACAATAATGGATGTATACAAAACAATCAACCTACTTTGGATATAAATACTTTTGTCTCCGCCACACGACACTTTTGTGGTGTTAGTTTTCAACCACAAAGTCCTTGAGGCTGAACAAACGATAACTGAGATTTGTATTCGACATTTAAAATCAAGAAGAGGTCGGGAATACTGGACGTGGAAACACTTGATCAGTATGGAATGGCTCGAGTCTGTTTAAATGTTTCCCCTTCATATTTTATGTTATTCTATCCACAGCCTGAATGTAGTCTTCAGAAGTTCTAAACAGTTTATTATTGACTGTCACGATCGGAGGAGTCAGTACACACAACGGTGTGACTTCCATGTAAGGTCTGATAGATTAGAAAATCACATCGTGATAGATCTACAATATAGGCATTAGATCTATTTACTAGTAGCAACGGTAAATGCACTTAGCACATATCTAAACGTCACATTTACAGCACACTCTCCTGAAAAGGCAAACGCAAAGTGGTAGTTAACCAATTAGAAAGCTGCAACCGTCAATGACTTGTAGTGGATGTCGAGTCGAAGACGGACTATGATCACCACTACAATTCGTTTACGCGCCCAAAAACGACTTGGTTCCTTTGATAGCTCGTAAAACAGAAGACTTTATTAATCCAGATCAATTGTATTTATCGGCGATCTCGTGGTATCGAAATAATACCGAGACGTGCCAAAGAGTACAGGCGAAAAGGCAGTGCGTGAGCAAGTTCGAACCAAACAAGGCAGAGAGCGAAAGCAGAAGTGAAAGTGATACAGTTAAACAAATACAGTAAAACAATCTCTGGTACAATTGGTTACAATAATAATAATTGTTTCCGTTATTCTAATCGTGTTCTTATCGAGACCGGCCAGTCACTACAGGAGCCCCCCGCTAGAAAGGGTTTGCACTTTCGATACGTAGCGGTTTCATTCATGGGACTGATCGCGAAACGTGCAATTGTAGGACGAAGGCGTTGGCAGAACAGGAAGTGATCGTTGATCCTCGAGTTGCCACCAAAAGTCTTTGACGTAGAACGGTACCAGAAGGAATGTACTGTATTGATTGCTTGGATTAGCATGCTACACCAGAGTGGTTTGTATCCAGAATCTGAAGGTTGCGTGCGTAGAGGCCCGGACCAGAAACGCTGCAGACGTAGGACGAAACCAGATTGAGCCAAGGAACCAGATGCGACCAGGATAACCATGTTCGGGACCAAATGTATACCAGACGTATTTGGAGCCAGAGAGGTCGACTAAGTGCGTTGACTAGAGCATGGGTGATCAGGCCAGCTTTCGCCAAAGTTGACTGAAGTCGACGATACCGTAACAGCGATGGTTGGAGGCGTAGGCTCGGGGAAAACAAAAAAATGAGAGAAAAAGAGAAGAGTGTAGCATTCGTGTAGTATAGGGTTAAGGTCCTATATTGTATCCGCTGCTGGTTATGAGGTTAGTCGCGAAAGCGTACTCGGCGACCGGAACGTAAGACGGTAGTCTCGTTCGAACCTCGTGAGCCTGCAATCTCATCCACAGTCAAGGGCGGTGTGGTCTGCTGGTCTGGACGTGAGACGGAAGTCTCGTCAGTAGACGGGGCAGATGACAAGTGCTGTTGACTGGGACGTGAGAATGAGGTCTCAGAAGCATCTAGCGTGGGATCCGAAGTAGATGTAGAGATCCCGCTAGAAGCTTTGATAGGTCTAGCATTGGGTCTCGGCTTATCAGGTATAGCACTGTCATCGACGTGTGCTGGCATGAGACGATCAATGCTGACTATTTTGACACGACCATGTCGATCAACCTTGAAGGTCTTTTCGTGACGGGAAATCACGTGAAAAGAAGCTTCGTAAGGCTGTTTGCTCAGATTGACCGTAAGTTGTAGTGTACCATAGTTGGGAATGACTGAGTCATCCGCAGCGCGTAGTCGAAGCATCGTAGCTTGAGACTTACTGTTACTGATAGGTACGACAGAAACTTGGGTACCTGTATCCACGAGGTACCTAGCGTTAGTGCGATAATCGTGCACATAAAATAAACGGCTAACCTAAGGTGAAGGGCCGGTGAGTACGGCCGCATTTACTCACCGGCTCAGGAGTTTCTCGCCTTGTATGAGCAGGGAGCTCGACAATGACGGGCACCGGCCCCGAAGGCACGGTGGAACCAGCACCAACCTGGACTCGCTTCCGAAACCGCCTTCTGGCGTGGCTTGTAAGATGCCCGCTTGGGGCAAGTCGTTACGGCTTTTCCAGATCGTGACCCGGGTCGGGGGACGTAGGGGGCTGGCACGTTTGTGCGGTCTCATAAACTGAGAAGAGTATGGATACATCTGTCCCTATCCCCATGAGCCGGAGGTCGTCTAGCATCGAGATCAATGTTAGAACGGGAAGTAGAGGCAACAATATAGTTGTCTTCGGCGCTAACACGTGTTAGAATCTTGTCTGCTATGAGGGCCACCTTGTGCAGTGGAGTGTCCTCGAGCAGGGCCGTAAGGGTTGGCTGGATACTGACTGGTACGGCTTCGAGCCACAACTCTTTGATTATCTCAGAGTCTGCTGTCGAGTTTCCTGCAAGAGATTGCAGGCGCGTGAGGTGGTGGCTCGGCTTAGCATCACCCATAGGGTGACGTGCTAAGAGAGTCCTCAATCGTTCCTCTCTTGATGGGAGGAAATGTGGAAGGATGGCATCCTTAAGACGGTCGTAAACGTTCGGAACGTTCGGATTGAGGACAACCTCACGGACAGCAGTTAGGTGATCCCCGGGCAATTATTCCAAAGCGTAGGCGTACTTTTGCCTTTGGTTGGTTATGCGGCGGATCTCAAATTGAGATTCCAGTGCCGCGAACCAGACTTCTGGATCATGAGGGATGAAAGCAACCGGTCGAAAATTGATAGCCTGTACCTCGGAGTCTATTATATTTATACTACTCTTATCGTTATCCACCATGGTAAGTTGCCAAGATATTATATATTGAAAGTAACAATACGAATATATGCAACAGAAGTGGATAGATAAATAGACTCACCGAATTGATCTGGTTTGAAGAATTGGCCAAGTTTAAACTGTGCTCGAAGAATTGGGTTACTGGTTGTGGTTCGCCAGATGTGCGTGTTCCCAATACGGCTCACCAGTTTGTAGTGGATGTCGAGTCGAAGACGGACTATGATCACCACTACAATTCGTTTACGCGCCCAAAAACGACTTGGTTCCTTTGATAGCTCGTAAAACAGAAGACTTTATTAATCCAGATCAATTGTATTTATCGGCGATCTCGTGGTATCGAAATAATACCGAGACGTGCCAAAGAGTACAGGCGAAAAGGCAGTGCGTGAGCAAGTTCGAACCAAACAAGGCAGAGAGCGAAAGCAGAAGTGAAAGTGATACAGTTAAACAAATACAGTAAAACAATCTCTGGTACAATTGGTTACAATAATAATAATTGTTTCCGTTATTCTAATCGTGTTCTTATCGAGACTGGCCGGTCACTACAGACTCACTAAAGTTAATCTGTTTGGGGATGTAGTGTATCTTTAAAGAGATTGTAACTTGTTGCTAATCCTATTGTACAACACTACCTGAAGGCAATCAACCATTTATGGTGGCTATATGTTGGCATGGCCTATGCTGTGGGGTGTTTCTACCCCTGGATAGCTACTGTGATGGTCTATACTTACATCTTCTGTAGGCTCCGATCAATTAAATTCCTCTCCCTATAATTATAATATTCCCTATTCGTGATACGAGTTTCATTTTTATGATGTCATAATGTTGGCATCATCTAAAACTCTTTTACTGCAAACGTCTTTAGGCAACAGCCAACGACCAAACGACATTGGATTTATCTGTAAAGAGCCTCGGTGGGCTCTTTTCCACTAAATAAGAAACTCCTACCACCACTGTTCAATGCCTTTAAAAACTAGAGATTAGTAACCCTTTTTCATAACAGGTCTTAATCATCACGTGAAAAGAGAGATTTTATAGGAAAATGAAAGTTCTCACTTGGCGGCGCGCCACATTGAAACCTTCGATACTCAATCACATTGTTATCAGGTGACTTCATTTCGTTTTACACTATACTCCAGTATTATTTGCCAAACGTGTGAACGTACTTTTAAAACCTGAATAGTGTGTTCTTGGGTTAAAATTTAAAAGATTCTTTGTGTTCATGGGTTTTTAAGACCTACTAATTGTCAATAATTAATATTTCCCAGTCTCCACATTTTGGGGAAATTTCGAGGAAGCCGCTATAAAATGTTTTGTGGAAATGTCGCGACCCCATAAAATTTCCCTAGATTTGGAAAAACTTCTCACTATTTTGAGGATTTCTTTAGGATCTTGTGACACTTTAAAGAAATCTGTCTGTATTTAATGATGAAACCCCAAAATTTTCCGCAATTTTGGAAAAGTTCACCTAAATGCCTCGTTTTTAGCCGATATTTCTTCAGAATTTTTGATAACTTTGAAGAAACTCATCGACGTTCTGTGATCAAAACCCAATACTTCCCCCGTTTTTCGGGACATTATGCACGATTTTGACTATCCCAAACACCGCGTTTGGCAAACAGTAAAATTACCGATTGCACTGACTTTTTAATAAGTACTTGAAAGTTCTTAGTCATCTATTCCATGTTTTCATGTTAACTTCGCACAGTAAACACTGTACCAGAGCAATCTAATTATAATTGGTAACGAGAACCCCTCCGCCGCGATAAATCAGTGGCCAGGCTATGATTTATGGACGACCTTCAAACTAATCTTGAGTGACCCTAAGGAATATTGGCCAATCAGTAAACAGTCAGTACAGAGTGAAAATATATTATACAAAAACATATAAATAAATTGGATACTCTTCTTTCACATGGTTAAAAAATTATCAAGGTTTGAAAGAGGTTTGAAGGTTCTAAAATCTTAATGCATACGGTAAAGGTATTCATCGATATGGCTCCATAATAGTCGGTCTCTGGAGCCATAATGAGATCGCAAAAGCTCTTTCAGCATCGACCACATAGCTTCAATATTGTTTGTATGTACTCCGGTTGTTTAAGCTTGTTATTTATATTACGCATATATCTCCACAATGCTCATACCACTGAACATTTGAAGCTTCAGTAACATCTGCAAATACTACAGCCAATTTTACTGGTGCTTTTATTATACAGTTCGCGGCAATTATTATAATTTGCCTTGATCTCAAACTGGATTGAGCAAAAAAGTTCCTATTCTATCAAACGTCTTCCTCCAAAATATACATTGCATTGAAAGACAACATCACTATAGTCTGCACAAGGTCTACAAGTCATTTGATTAACACAATTACACATAAAGGGATTTGTTAGTAGTCCCGTTTATTGTAGCCACCTGTCACGTCTCTAAAATCCCCTGTGAACCGATAGTACATGAGCATCAGGTACTGAGATTAGCGCCGAGACCTTGAAATCCCCCAAACGCTTCTGGTTGGCTCACCCATAAACTATAGTCTCTCCTTAAAACAGAAACCAGTATTTAATCGCAGATCTAAAATCTATTTCCATCACCGTTTCTTTGGATCGCCATCCACGCTTATTTTATCTCTTGCGTCTTGTAAGATAGCCTGGCTTGCAACACCCATGGCTTGTGTTGTTTCTTTTTCTGGACTAGTTGCACTTCGGAACCGCAAAGACAGAACATCTGCAAGTATATTAACACTGGTATGAACGTACTTTGAATCGTCCTGTAGAATCTGTAATTACTGATACCTATTTTACTTTTTGTCCCACGTAATATATAAGTAATAGTCAGTCCCAGCGTCACCACGTAAGCTAGACATACTTTGGTTGATTTCCGAATATCATCACATACAATCTCAGACAATATGGTTACCTAAAATTTTATAAACATCTGTCACAACTTACGAACTGATCACGAAACTTGTGCTCCTCCAAAGCAGCTTCAAAACTACGCAGTTCCTCAGGTGTTTTCGATGGGAATGTGAAGCTGAAGGTGTCTATACTGTCGCTGTACTTGTCCTTCACACGCATGGATGAGCTTTTGATGTAACTGGTCAGTTTGTCCATCTTACTAGACAGTTCAGTGACTACTTTCGAAATCATTTTCAGTGTTTTACTGTCATCATTGTACAACTTTTTTCTATCATGTTTGCATTAATTCTAAATTACGGTTTACTAACTTCCGTTGAAGTAGATGGAAGTGGTGGTAAGTAAACCTCTGTTTTCGATAAACTTCTTTATTAGCATGTATTCAATAGGTACTTGCTTTGCTATCGGTGAAAAGTTCCCAGTCAAAATGTCGACAACTGGAAAGTCGACTGGGACGCATGCAGCTACCATTTTACGTCTTCGACAATGTGGCGCATATATATCTGGTGCCCCACCTGTACCAATGTTTATGTGTTAAAATAAAATAAATTAAACTATGCACATTATAGACTAAGCGTTTCCTACCGTAACAGTATTCGTGACCCAATAAGTTGTTCAGATGAACACAAACACTGCTGGAGAAGGTAGTATGCAACTTCGGGTGTGATAATAAATATACTGACAAAGATAGACGTCGGTAGTTTCTGTACAGTGCTAATGATAAATTATCACGAAGAACTACAGGATCTAAGTATAACCAAGGCAACTGGCATTCAGTTGGTTTCCATACAGAAACTTAATGTAGCGGACGAAATTTCCTTTGAAAGTCGCATGCCGTGTGTCGTCTACATAAGTCTAGGGCTATACTGATGGATGTAAAAATAGGTTGATCCATCCGATTTAGTCGCTTATTTGCTAGATCCTTGCATAAGTAAATTAGTTTTTTTGGTGATGCCTAAATATATCATGTGCATCGGTTCTGACCGAAAAACTTCTAACCTATCTAGTGAAAGATTTTAGAAGGGACTTCTACCACGATAATGGGTCGATTGGGACCTACTACAAGAAGTGACATCACTTCTCAAGTTGTTTTCACCACTGGAGAAAGTTATTCGACCATTCACTCGTGTCCTTAAAACCTTACATTTATCAGAGCCAGTAGTACCATTGTGTCCAACAGCATACCCGACGTTTCTACGAGCTGGAGTGTCATAAATAACAGCTTGGGTGTGGCCCCCTAAGAAAACCATCTGCTTCAGTCTGGGCACCTGAGCAGTATCACAGTCCTCACACAAATCAAATAAGATTTGTGTGGCGCATATTTATCTGGTGCTTTCTTGTACCAATATTTATGTTTAAATAAATAATAAAAATAAATAACAGCTACTAATTTAACCGTCGGATATAACTGACAGTTACAAGTGCTGCTGACATTTCGTTGAAATCAGATGGTTTTACTTCACCACCATAGATACCAACTATGAATACTTCACTAATAAATTGACCTACTAGGCGACCTAGGATTGTTCACAGTTGTTGGTTAGAGCTTTGGAAAAACGACAGATCTTCGTATTTCGGTTCGCTGAAGCTGATTTTGCCTAGCCGGTTTTCTGAAATCTACAGAAAACATGTTTTCAGTCCGATGTGGTAGTGCACTCCTGTTTCCAGAAACGTTGGTTCCACATTATGGCAATGACTTTTGACGAACATGGGGAATTCTAAAATGTACACCCGAAGGAAGTCCAGAATTCCGTTCTCCTTCTTCGCAGTTATGTCATCATTCATTATCTCAATTACAACTCTGTCTAGCCGTTGCTTCAGTGAGAGATGAGCAGGTGGAGACATTTCAGTAGTTGCACCATCTACAATTTGCTAATAAAGAAACCTAGACTATGTTGTTTGCTGTACTGTGTGTACACTGGACGTAACTACATGAGGCAGTGGCCGATTGAAGGACAATACTGCTACAACGCTCTGTAGCAATGACGTTGCCTACTCCTTTTACATCAGTGGTCGTTAACTAATGTTTGTGTACTTATCCAAAACACATGATCAATTGTTAAGAATGGGAAGAACTTATGTATTAATGAATAATTTGTAATTTATCAAAGTTTAATAAACATTTCTGTGTATAATGCGTCTGTTAGATCCACGCTAACTAAAAGTTTTCGGAATGATTGAGAACAGCCGTGACCGACGAAAGCGAATGAGATGGAAAAGACGGTCGTTATGGGTAACACAAAACAGCTTTTCAGACCATTAAAAGAAACCGGAATAAAGAAAGCAAGTGTAGATGAGACAGTCTCCGGAAAGTACGTCACTCTTATCCTCTCTCAATTTACACGTTTATAACGATAGGCGGAATATTAATGAGCAGTTCAGCTGACCTTCAGCTACTCTATAGCTGCTCACCATTTCCAAACAGCCTGAGTGGAACGTTGAAATAACACCTCCCCTAACTCTAATTGAAGTTCAAAAAGCTATAGCTAATCTGAAACGAGGAAGAGTAGCTGGTTCAGTTGGATTGACTACAGAGGTCTTAAGGATGGTGGTCCAGTTTTAGCGATAAGGTTGACCATTACTTTAGCTAAAATCTGCGAACTGAATGTAATCCCATCTGACTGGTCGCAATCATTGATTCTCCGAATATATTAGAAAGGATCAAAGTCATCCTTTGATAACCATAGAGTGATTATTTTCACTAATATAACGTCTAAAATACTATCCTCAATAATTATCAAACGCCTAACAAAGACTCGTTAACTGTAGACACAAGAAAACCATTTTGGCTCCAGACCTGGTCGTGGCTGCAGCGACCACACATTCACCATTCGTCAGATTTTAAAACACAGACATACTTATTGGCGTCCGGCAGTGGTAGTTTTTCTTGACCTAACATCAGTGTATTTGACTCTTTAGACTGAGAGATTCTGTAGCAGTGTCTATCACTAAAAATGCATGCTTCAGAAGTACACAAACCTTTTGAAGGCTCTTTACTCAAACACTACCAGCGAAGTCAGAGCTTATGGCAAATTGTCATCTTATTTTGCAATCTCAAGTGATGTCCAGCAAGACTGTCCACTATCTTCATTTCTGTTTAATTTAATCATAGACCTACTGCTGAAAATAACGTTCTCGTTGTCTGAGTCTTCGGAAATTGGTCGCACACCAGAGAGTTCACTTATTGACGTAGTCCTGTTTAGTGAAGATGCTGACAAAATGCAGTCTTTTGGTAGCACTGAGTAACAGTGAAAGGATGTTTGGGATGCGTTTCTGCTGTCTATCAATTAAAGGACGAGTATACTGCGCAACACCCATAGCCTTCGACCTAAAGGTCTGATCCACAAGGCAGTGGAGCAACGTAAGTAAATGCAGTCCCATGGTAGCCAGTAACCAACAATTGGTTCATACGCCATTTGTTTCTTCAGGATCATGGAGCCCATGTGCACCACTGGATTAGAATCAGGGTTTTGCAGTTCACCCAGGTGGACCCTGCGTGTTCACCAACCCGGTTAAAACGCCATACATTCGCTTTTCGTCCTCTGAATTTCGTAAATAACAGTAGTGCCGTGAGAAGGCGGTGAGTAGGACTTCCCTGACAGTAGCTGTATGAGCGTGGCCATGTGAGAGGATTTGGAGCGGGAGAGCGGACTCTCCCCACCCTCAACCTTACCACTAAGTTTTGAGAATATGGGTCAGACAGATAGTATGGAGAAGTATTTATGAGGGGATACTGCAGCCTAAGATCTAAGATAAGGTAACGATTAAAATGACCCAAGTTGTTTGCATCAGTTCTGAGCCGTCTAATCCAACGTTTCCAACCACTAATCTGGGTTCTCTCACAGATCCAGACCAGGAATCGACTTGTGTCGATTTCTTTCCTATTGGTACAAATGTATCGTATTTTCTTCGGATACAAATGTCACGCATCTTCTCTGTTCTTACAGTGTTCATAATTCATTATACTTTGAGATTTTATGGATCAATTTTCTTTCCTCCTAATTAGTTACCAATATTTAATAACTATGTTGCCTACACAAGAGGCGAATACACTGACAGAGATGTTAATATCTGGATATCGTCTAGATGGCCGGTCAATAAATGAATATCGTGAAATCAGCTTTCGTTTCCCTCAGGGGAAAGATCCTAATGTTTCCGGTTGTTGTGTTGTAAAAATAGGCGCTACGACTGTAATGGCACAAGTTTCAGTTGAAGTAATTGAGCCTAAACATTTTCGTCCTTCTCAAGGAATGTTGTTTGTACACTTCGATGCTAGTATTTTAAAGTTATCTAAAAGTAAGTTTTTAGTATTTTAGTTTTTCATTTATGTTAGATAATTTGACATGCAGAAAACTCCTATCTTTATTATATCATTGGTAACTTCCAACTTCAAGGTAATATAAAGTGAACTGTTGCACAGTATGTAATTCCCTTGATTGACAGGTATCTCGTTTTCTCAACAAGTGAAGCAATTTGGCAAAGGCCAAGAGAGCTTTTTAAATTCCTACTGAAATTTCTTCAGACATCAGTTTACGAATAATTATCTGGAGAATACTCACATTATAAATTGTTCATGTTCAGGGTTTTTTCTAATTATTCATTAAAATCGAGGATAACGAAAGTCATCCGCGACTCATATATATTACGTTAGTGTTAAATAGTCATTTATTTTAGGCTAAAATAGGGTACATCCAAAAATATGGATGGTCTGAAGTGATCATTCGAGTCTCGTCATTTCGTTGGTATTTTCAAATGATTTTCAACAGTCATGAAATGTGGGGTTACTATCGGTAACCTTCATCTTAGTTGTGTCTATCACTCATATACATATTTCTCATGTAAATGAAATTTTTAGTTTTCTTTCCAACTTTAAAAAAAAATCTACTTTCAATATTTAAACGATACATATTATATTTGTCTTCTGATTTTTCACTCTTTTCCAATAGCTCTATATCGTAAACAAAAACGTGATGATGAAGGTCGTCGTCTATCAGCTGTTCTCCAAACATTACTTCGAGATAGTATTGACTTGGATGCTCTGTGTATAGTTGCTTGGGAACGTGTATTTGCTGTACGAGTTGAATTACGTGCTTTATCTTATGATGGAAATTTAGGAGATTGTGGTGCATTAGCTGCTGTCGCCGCTCTGGCAGCTTTTCGTCGACCAGATGTTTATGTTGATGATACGGGTAAAGTGAGTAATAGCTTTTTAAAAATTTGAGTTAATTTAATCCAGTATCGGTTAGTTGTTGATAGGTTGTTTTGGTTATGTATATAGTCTGTGAGTTGACTTATTGGTAGGACTCCTATTTATTGGTCTAAACTGGGTTGTGTGAACTGTAGTTTGAATAGGCAATCATTTATTGGTTGCACTACAATTTATACGCTTGACTTTGAGCTACATCTTTTCGCATAAGGGATTATGATATTACTCAACTACTCAAACCAAAGTGGCAAATGGTTCGAACCCAGCTTCCTAGCGGTTGGACGCTAAGTGCATTAATCGTTAAGCTGACTTTCTAACCAAGCAAAGCAATCCTTTTATGTATTTTATTTGTAAAAGTAACTGACTATTAATATTATACGATATAGTTTTGAAATCAATTTAATCCATCTGTCAGACATGCTTCGAATATTGACTGGATAACTTTGTGAATTGTACAAAAAGAAACTAGTCTCATCGGTCGAGTGCTAGTTCTAATTAGGTGTGACAACTTGGACCGAGCATATATGTGTCTGGTTCTACGTTGTAGCTGACTGGTTGAATGCTTGGACAAATGAGTCAATGCTTCAACTTAATATACATATTCATTTAAGACAAAAAACACCGAAAGATAAAGCAAGAAGGCGGTTCACTTATTTATTCATTTGTTTAAACATAAATATTGGTACAAAGGGGCACCAGATATATATGCGCCACACAAAAGAATGGGAAGAGGAAAGGAGTAAGAAGTATATGCATATATATATATATATATAACTGAGGAAAAAATAAGAGTAACGATGGGGGAAACTGAAATGTATAACCAGATCTCTTTCAGTTAAGTAAGTTATAACCACTCTTTATGAAGAAAGTAAAATAAAGTTACAGCAGAATCGCCACTGGCTTCTATTCTGAGCCATATCTAATAACGTCTCTAGCCACTGTGTTGCACCATCTCTTGGACCCCAACCAGGGAGTTGTGAAGGACCAACAGAAGCCAATCCTTTGCAGCTTTCTTTTTTATCACGACACCATGTCATACACTGACCACCTCTCTGTTTTTTCCAACCAGTCCCAGCGTCAGCAAATGCACGACGTGGAATTCTCTGGGACGAGATTCGTAGAACATGTCCAAGCCAACGAAGTCGGTGTTTCAAAATTCTACAATAGGTTCACGAGTGATGAAGTCACTAGAAAAATGAATCTCTTCACTTAGCAACTACTTTTTAACATTCAACTTCACTACCTAATCGTGTATTAATAATTTTTCCTTGTAATTTTTAAGTTATCATCATTTATTACATTTAAATTGAAAGCCAGTTGCTCCATTCTTACACCATATAAATTCAGGGTCTTTTTTCTTTTTGCAAAATCTAATAAAATATGCCCAATAAATCCGGTTGATGTCACAAAGTGTGGTGGTAAAGAGGAGAGACAAGTTTGGAGCGGGCTATTGTATGTAAATGTCTTATTCACGTATCCTGAGACATCCAACCATTAATTTTGTTTCTCATTTTGTGGTGTTAATGTTTTATCGTCATTAGGATGCAATCAAAATAACAATGTCAGAATCGCTATAAAAAGCAAGTTATGCTCACAGTCTTGTGTAGATTCTAATGATAGATTGAATTCCAATTGATTATATATGTGTATATTTCATTGTTCTAATTTTCAATCAGGTACTAGTCGATTTCGAGGCTAAATTTCGACCTAGAGTACCTTTAGGTATTCGTCGTACTCCAGTACTTGTTACACTTGGTCTAACTGCAGATGCTAAAGTAATTTTAGTCGATCCTACTGCTCGTGAAGAACTTATCCTTACTGGTGGACGTGTATTACTTGGTTTAACTAATACTTCTGAAATATGCTGCCTGTACACCACTGGATTATCTGTGCCTATTCAATGTTCATCACTTTCAAGGTATATATTTTATTATAAACGCATGTTTTTTCAAGCGTTCTTTATGTTCTCTTTATCGGATTCAACTTCAAGGTAGTCATTTCATTCAAATTTTTGTCATATTCTCAGTTGTGCAGGTTTTCGAGTATAAACTCACTGATAAATAAAGCTTATCTAAAATCTCAAACGGTTGAATATATTCTGAGTTTATTTATTTATTAGTTGAACACATAAATATTGGTACAAGGAAGCACCAGATAAATATGCGCCTCACAAATCTCATTCGATTTGTGTGCGGGCTGTGATACTACCCAGGTGCCCAAACTGAAGCACCTGGTTTTCTTAGGGGGACACCCGGAGCCTTTGACCTAAAGGTCTAGTCCACAAGACAGTGGAGCATCGTAAGGAGATGCAGTCCCATGGTAGCCGGTGACCGATAATTGGTTCATATGCCATTCGTTCCTTCTGGATACTGGAGCCGATGTGCACCATTGATTTGGAATCAGGGTTTATCAACTCCCCTAGGTGGATCCTCCACATCCACCAATCCGGTTAAAGCGCCGGAAATTCGCTTTTTGTCCTCTCACTTTTGTGAACAACACCGCCGCCACGAGAAGGCGGTGAGTAGGACTTCCCTGACAGAGGCTATTCGCGTGGACAAATGAGAGCATTTTGAGAGGAAGAGCGGACTCTCCCCACTCTCGTCCGTTTTCGGGGGTTAATGAATATGGAAATTATTCAACAACCTGGTTGGCGTTTTTTTAGCGAGTTGGTTTTCTACAGTATGGGGTCGCTAACCCCATGCCTAACCCTCCTCATTTACCGGGGCTTAGGACCGGTAGTAGCCCCCGGAGGAGATACAGGCGGAGTTTATTCAACAACCTACTGGTATGTTACTGCTTGAATAGTCAATTGACAATTAGAAATCAAGAAGGTTCATCAGGTGATTTTTCTTGTTAATAGCAGATAAATTTAAGCTTTATTGTGATTTGCAACCAAACGTAGATATACTTTGTGAGTAAACAGTTGTATGCTACCCAGATCAGTAAGCCAGTTCAACAATTCTTATATAAATATAATAATAATAATAATTAATGGCTTTATTCAATATTATAATCTGGTACAATATAGAATTCTCAGCACGAGTTATTTCAACAAGTTTTTTTTACCAAAAAAAAACACAAAACAAAAAAACCAGTAGCTACTGCGCCACCACAGGTCTTTTTATTGTTTGATCGATCCTGAAAATAGATATTAAGAGTTAAGCAGCTCGGGAATCGACATTTGATTAATGTTTATTCTCTCTAAAGCATATTGCCAAACACCACAATGTCTCTTATTGTACTTGTTTGTAATTTTTGCAGCGAAAGGACGTAAGCTTTTCATAAACGCGCCTTTATAGGTTATGCGATCAAGAGACATAATGATAGGTTAAAACCAAATTTTAAAAAACCCAGATAACTTGTTGAAATATTTAGATGGCAGAAACAGGTAGCCCAGGGATTCAAGCAGGCCGCACTTTTACGTTTAATTGTCAGTCAAATGAATGACGCTGCTCGGATCTTGTATGCGCGTTTCGGAGACGCAGCACAAATCGATGGTGCGAGATTCTAAAGTCCTAGCTAAGGAAGCCTGTTATCCTATTTGGCACAATGTTCGGACGTTAAAATCCCTACATGTAGTTTAGAGCGTGGTTTCAGGAGACCAGCAATAACGTTCCGTGTACTCGAATCGTTCGCCCTAGCGGTGCGAGGTGATAAAAGGACGTGAGAAGGGTTAGTCGTGGAGATAACAGAGTTATTAGATGTAGGAAGAATTCGAATGTGACCAACTTGGTCTCGTGTGCAGTTACGGGTATGAGGGCTAATATCACTTCCCGGCTGTCCATACCATGGGAGGGTATTTCTTGAGGGACCTGAAAAGGAAGTTGGATTAGTGTTGGTCTTAACTACCTGGGAGCGTGACCGCAGTGCCCAAGGGACAACTGCTTGAGGCCGGTCACGCACGGCCTTTTGTGGGTGATTTTTGACGTGTTGGCTCCGTTCTTCAAATAAGCTTACCGCCGGAGACGGAAATACGTGGGATAAGGCGAGGTATGGATTTTTAAGGTCGACCTTTTCTAACCCCACCCCTTCATGTGGGAAGGAAGCATCGCTGTTATGCTGGTTGTCTGAAGGAAACACCTTACTGCCGTCACACCTTTGTACAGTCGGCAGTATGACTTCGCCTTCGGACCTTGGGATTGCTACGTCTAATCTTACCGCTCTTCAACCGACCTGTCTGGCATGGTAGGACCTTGAGGAACGATTGTCCCATCCAGTATAGCTCGATTGGTTCATTACGATAGACAAGCCCGACCACCATGTCAAAGTAACAGCAACGGTCGGGACGTTTAATTGTACATACACGATAAAGAAATTGCTATATATATATATATATATATATATATATATATATATATATTGCTAACCAGTTGACGTTAGAGATGTAAACCATTGAACACTGATTGAGTAGTTTCAATCGTTTGGCGCTTGATGCGAGATTTTAAGGTCCCGATTTCGATATCCTGTGAAATTGTGTATAGGCGCCTTTATAAAGTCCCATCCTAGAACGAAGCTCCAGTTCAGTGATTCTTTGTTTTCGCTGGTTGTCTGAGGTCAGTTCGTGCAATGAACTCTAGATAAATATTTATTTCAACCTGTAGTACTACTAGTACTCAATACAGTGACTTGTTGAATATATTTTACGTGATAATTTTTTTTCCATCAACCTTTTAGGTGTATTCATTTAGCTAATTCCAAAGCAAAATGTCTTGTTTCATTAATTAATTGGGTCTTAGAAGGTTTATCTATTCAAAGAGAAGCAAATTTAGCCGCTGCCCATGCTAGATCTAGTGATCTCAATAACAGTGTATTAACAACATCAAATGCTCCATTAGTTTTATCCACTGCAACATTTCTTCTTGATAAAAATAATCAAATGGATCATGAAACTGGTTCATATAGAGAAGAAGGTGAAATTCTACCAGCAGATCATAATAATGATTCAGATTCAGATTTAGATAATGATGATATGGATGTTGTTAGTTCTGATGATGATGAAGGTAAAGGTCCACAATCTTTTATGAAATCAAATGTTAAACATAAAAAGGATACAAAACTTTTACCTTATGGTGTCATTGAAGTATCTAGTAGTAATATTGATCAAAACTCAGAAAAGGTAATGCCTAATTCTTCAGTAAATGACTTTGATGAATTTGATTCCATTAATATATATAATGCTAATTCTATGACTTTAAAAACTTCTAATCAAATATTTACTGAAGGATTTCAACAAAATGATCAGATTATAGATTCTGTATATAAAGAATCTAATGATGAGGATGAGGATGAAGAAGAAGATAATATTACTATATTGAATTTAAATTAAAGAAACAAACTATTATACTTTTCTGTATAGTACTTTGTTAATTAATAAATTTGCTTATTTGAATATTCATGTATATAGATATTATGACCTTTTTGGTTCCTTTTTGTTGTCTTTCTCTTCTTATCATCATTCATTGGTTCTTTTCTATTGATGACCCCGAATGCCCTGGTACGGCCGAGAGTGGGGAGAGTCCGCTCTTCCTCTCAAAATGCTCTCACATGGCCACGCGTATGTAGCCTCTGTCAGGGAAGTCCTACTCACTGCCTTCTCGTGGCGGCGGTGTTGTTCACAAAAGTGAGAGGACAAAAAGCGAATTTCCGGCGCTTTAACCGGATTGGTGGATGTGGAGGATCTACCTAGGGGAGTTGATAAACCCTGATTCCAAATCAATGGTGCACATCGGCTCCAGTATCCAGAAGGAACGAATGGCATATGAACCAATTATCGGTCACCGGCTACCATGGGACTGCATCTCCTTACGATGCTCCACTGTCTTGTGGACTAGACCTTTAGGTCAAAGGCTCCGGGTGTGTCCCCCTAAGAAAACCAGGTGCTTCAGTTTGGGCACCTGGGTAGTATCACAGCCCGCACACAAATCGAATGAGATTTGTGAGGCGCATATTTATCTGGTGCTTCCTTGTACCAATATTTATGTGTTCAACTAATAAATAAATACATAAATTTAAAGTGAAATCAACGGAATTCCAATAAATTCTAGAAATTTCTATCACATTAGCTTGCAACATTTAGTTTATGTATGATGCTAAGAAACATGTCGTATCGTTTAATAAATTAGAAGGGAATTCACTTTAGTTGAGGCTACATTGTTATTTATTCCGAATGATCCTTCAGAGTAATCCTTCACAATTGTAGTCCCTAAAATTCGAAATAAACTCTATATACAAATCATTTTCAGCTGGTCAGTACAGGTTGTTTTTGTTTTAACTTCAACAAATTAACTATTGTAAACCACTACATTCCGAACTATTCAATAGAACAATCTGGGCGTCGTCGCCTATGTTGTAGAGTATTTAAAAACGACTACCCTCTTTCCTGTCACATAGTGAAAGCAAATAAGCTCATGTAACTGGAGGTGAAAAATCATGAAAGTATACTAGTTATGCCATACAAATATGAAGAAACCAAAGTTGTGGTCTTTTGCACATTGGGTTTATTTACTTTGAAAAATTGCTTACCATACTGACTGAGAGATATTTATATAAAATGTCTAATATGATTATCGATAATTTATATTATCTGTCTGGTCCTGAGATTTCTCAAAGGCCATAAGATTATTCATACGTGAATAAAGGTAAAAACAGTTTGTTGCTCACTTGAATTCGGAACTCACAAATGGTTCAGAGTCAGCTGTCGACATAAATTAAACTGACAGTTCAAGCTGTCACAGCATGACAACAAGGAAGATTAGAAAATTGATAAGTGGAATAGTCTTCAAGGCACTGGGAAACTAAACATAAAAAGTATAGTTTGTATAAGATAGGGAATGTACATTACCCGTAAAATACCACAACCGTGACCAAATAATTTACTAGGCTGGACTTTTTTTACGTTAGATTACTTAGTTGAATGCTGAACAACTTACAGAAGTTCCTCAGGATCAAGGATGACTAATGAGAAGTGATCAGTGCATTCCGTGCGGCTGGGTTTCGCAGTAGATGGGTATTGTTGTACATTTTACATTTCTGACTAATTTTTTGTCTGAAATTCCATTTGTACTGACATCGAATGGGGCACTTCGCTTGGTTAACACAATAAGGTAAGCCCAGCAATGCATTTATCACGTGGTACAACTTTAACTTTACTTAAGTAATCACAACATTAACGGGGTAGATATTAGTAATGATACTAAACCCAATTAATTAAGGAACAAGTTAATTAAAATGTATAGATTGCTCTTTAAAAGGCTCACTGGTTTTCAGAATTCTTTGTGGTTATATGGCGTCAAAAGCGTAATTCGTAGAATTTAACTTGAACTACCTGTGTTAAAATTTTTACTTGTTGATACTTAATTAGAAATATTTACTTTTATTTCTGATAACTTCTAGGAGTCCGAATTCCTTATTATCTTTTTCTGGCAATCCTCTAATTTTTTTGCTATTTCACCATTTATGACTGTCTAAGTGATAAGTTACATGTAAATTAACGTTTCGATTGAGGGGTTCTTCTGTGTGTAGGTTATATTACATACGTTCTTCTGCTCGAAAAAATCCTCCCATATATAGATTTAGCATGAGAATAATCTTTTGTTTTCACCTCCGAAAGTAAAGTTGTCATTTTGGACTTTCTACTCTACATATCCCGTTTACTTTCGGCTCCAGATGAAATTGCTACTATTCATTTCACAAACAATTTGATTTCCTCAGTGTATTACCCCATTTATTGAACTGTTTGTATGACACTTGCTGCATATACTCATCAGCATGGCAAACGAAATCGTCTACTTTGATTTGATGAATAATATTGATATGACGGTCGGAGTAAGTGGTTTTAAAAACTCTAACCGCAAGACAAATCTTGGATACTAAGAACCTAGTTTTGTAGTCTATATGCGTTTTGCTGTTAGGTCTAGATATAAATGATCCAAATGGCTGTAGGTCGTTTATCACTAGCAGAAGGAAATGTTGTCATTAGTTAGAGCGGAACAGAATGAGAGGATTATCGTAGTATGATTGATAAAATATCTGATTTCAAAATGTTTGACGTCAACAAAAGGCACGAAGATAATAGAGAAAAAGACCGTAAATGAGAGGACTCAAACGTTACCGCTATTGATTCGGAGATTCAGAATTTATAATCTAAAGATGCGAGAGAATGTGAATTAGGGAGGACTAAAGGATATAAAAGCTGACTCCTACAAAGACTTTGCAACCGCTAACCGAAAAGTATTTTTTAATGGTTCTCGATGTGATTCACAGAATGTCTCAACAACTTCATGAAAATAACACTTGTCTAATAAGTGATAGGAAAAGGTCAAAATCCGCCCAATATTGCTGCGAGGAAATCTGAGGTATCATCTGATCCTAATCCAAAGGTCAGACAGTCCCATGAACGTTCGGATTTTTACCGATGGCGTAATCCCATGTACTCAACTAGAGTCACTATAAAATACCAGTCATAATAAATGACAATACGGACTGTGATGTCAATCTCTGGCTGTTTAGTTGTATTGATGGCATTCGAGTAGGAGTAATAAAGACATCTGTTGCCTGACTCCATGAGAGGAACTATACTGACACTCGGACAGATCTGATTTACCATCGGAAGACATAATAAAGAGGAAGACGATCTGAATGAATTGGTAACTTGACAATGAACCAGTCGTGACAACTTACGTCTGGTGACACTTTAGGCAGCCACGTCTTGATAGTAGATAAGTTACTCCTTTAAAAAGTTTGTGCACACCTTTCTTCGTTTATACTCAGTAACCTTCGTATAAGCGGCAAGTTGAAAATCAAAGGAATGCAGCTATATTCTACAAAAGAATCTTGAGGAATGCATTTTGATCAGAGTTACTTTGCTGGATGCAACATATTAGGGTTGGAGCCTCTTTGGAAGAAGATAGTTGGATCTAATCTTACATTTTTCCTCAAGCCGATACACCGATTATTATACTCCTTGAATTTCATTTTAGGCTTAAGTGATATGTTCAGTAATAAACTAAGAAAGCACTGTACATTTGTCGAAATACGGCATTACTGTAGATCTAACACACGACAAGAAGTCTTCCTACGTCAGTTTTCTGTCATTTGAAATAGACTACCCATTAGATTATGTGAAACGGACACCATAAGCCACTTGATTTATGGGATAGATGGAATTCTAGACACTTGAAAATATATCAATGTAAAGACTTGTAAAGACATACTTGGCCCACTGGATGTGCAAAATAACCTCACAAAATCTTTAGTATATTACAGTAGAGCCACTAATCTCCTCCCTTAAAAACTCTCTTAAAAGTGAAGAGCTGACGTATTTCGTCCTTTAACTATCTGAAAAATGTACATTACTTAACTTGGACTATTAATTTCTTAATATCACAAAAGCAGGCTAAGTAAATTTATACTCCATAGGCTACCGAATCAAAAGAATGGCAAAAAGTACACTATATTTCATAGGACACATTCAAATACTTTTAGCCACCTGTATGAACTTTTGTGGTTGGTTTTCACAGTAATGGTTATCTCGAATATGTTGGATATTCTTATTACCCTTTTATTCTGTTCATAATCGTCGTCTGTACTTATAGATGTAGACGGCCAAGTTTTTTACTGAGAAGGAAGGAACGCTATATGATGAATGTAAAATGTAGTTGCACAAAATATGGACCTGTTTTAGTCCCACCGCATACAGGAAATACTGGCAGCCACACCCTTGTTGGCTTTGTATGCTTTGCTGTTCAAGCAAGATAGACCCTGGACCCGATGTTTCTTCTGGCTTCGGCTAGAATGAATCTGAACCCCCACGTTTTGGTTCAAACTAAAGATCTTCCTTGTTAGATCCAGTAATCATTTTCACGGCCGCTGTTACAGCGTACTCTTCAGTAAATACTAGCTCATAAATTGAAGAAGCATGCTCCATATTAAAAGGCATACCATGTTTAGTCACGTTGCCGTTTATACAATGGTTGGTATCGCATTGAAAAAACAACTTTCCACTACGGATAACTTAGCAGGTTAAGAAACTTCTTAAACGTTGGAAAGTAATGGAATGTGATAATAGTCCAAAAATGTTTTTCTCTTATATGAAGATACGAACTTAGAGAAACGATGGAATCCCATTACGTTTGACACACGAAAATTCGTTGATATTGACAAGAAATGGTGGCACAAAAGCGAAAGCTTCATAAGAATAATTCAGTCAAGTGCTTTCTACCGACGATAGTAAAAGAGCGATGATCAGTCGTGATGATGTCAGTTTGCAGACGAATCATGTGGTTATGGAGAACAAGACTGTCTTCGATTAACTCAACATCTCAAACTGGATAAGTCCGTTTGTCTTGACACCGTTCATACTAGAACTATGAAAACCCTGACGGACATAACTGACGAAACCCTGACAATACTGTTTGATATATCTGTTAAGAGACTTGAAAGATTTGATGATCAGTGTGTTTTCTAAAGCGGGAAGTATAGACCTGATTAGTGACTATCAACCCAGTAGTCAATCGAGCGTAGTCGTCAGACTATGTGTGTTCACGATCTTTTATCAAGGGATCGACATAGTTTTAATAAAAGTTTATCCTGCTTAGCAAATCTGCTTATTGTGGGACAAAATTTGGCTGCAGTGAAAGGTGGAAATGTTCCGGTAGATGCATTTTTCACAGATCTAAGTAAAGTCCTTGACAAGGTCTCTAATTTGAGTCCAAAATTTAAACTGGAGAATTTTGGTATCAATTGTCAAATCACAAGCTGGATAATTAACTTTTATAATGATGGGAGACAACAACTACCGGTAACTGTGGCCGTATCAGCATAGAAACGTGCAGGAATAGGAGTTTTCTAAGGCATAATTCCAGGATATAAAAAAATTAAAAAGACCTTAAAAGCTTGAGAGTCATGATAAACAATGACCACGAAATTGCGAGTAGTTGCAAAGCTGCCACTGCTAAAATTTTCAGCGCCTTATGTGCTATTCGTTAGTAATTTCGAAACTTGAACAAAGGAATAATTACGATATTATATCGGATTTTCGTGAGGCTTCGCTAGGAATGCGAGATTCGATCAGCGAGTCCTTGTTTAAAGAATGAGTAAGATATGCTGGAACGACTTCAAAGGCGAGGTGCCAAAATGGTATACGACTTATTTGGACTATCCCTTGAAGACGGCCTGAAACACTCCAACCTAATTCCGTTATCTGCCGCAGGGGTTAATATAGGTCAACAGACCTCTTATACCTACTACTGAAAACGGGAGACCCGTTGTCAGTGGTCTTGCCACTTTAATGAGAATAATCAAGATGAAGGAAGTGATGCTCATAAATTTTCGTCTGTCAGCGCTGAATATATTATCGCAGTTCCATATCTGAATTTCGTTCTTAGGACCTGACCGCAAAGCATCTCTTAGTCCATACATCCGATAAACATTCGTTCTACAATAAAGGAGCTGCCTGTACATCGGTAGCAAGAAACATTAAAATATGTATATATATATATATATATATATATATATATATGTATTCATTTTGTGAGCATTATGACATCTGAGTAACAATTCTTTTATAACGCAGCATCCATATGATGCACTAACTTATACACTGCATAATTTATTTGCAATTCACCAATCAACTATTTATGCAGTAACATTTTGCTACCCTGCTTTGCAGGTAAACGTTTGCTACGACACTCGAAGAACAATAGATGGAGGGGTTTAACTTGAAAAATAATACGATATTTTCGAACAGTTTTATCTTGCATTTAAAATTACTTACCTCATATAAGCTATGGATTTTGTGGAGATATCATTATTTTAATGGTCGTAAAATTATCCTAAGCGATGGATGCAAATTCACCTCTGTGACCAATTTTGTGCAATTTCGAACGTTCTCAAAGGTTATAAACATGTAATGCAAGTATAATTGTTAAAGTTTGACCTGAAAATTGCGAAGATGCTTTGCTTTGGATGCACTATTTAGGATAATAAAATGATATACACTAAACATTTCAGCGAACGTAAAATTGAATTTCTGATCCCTCGTGGCTAATTTAATGACATGAGACACATCAGGTAGCAATAGCATGCTCGCGTGACTCAGTCCAGCAATCAGTGCCTTCGAAAATTAATATCACGTATTGGTTCGCCGTATCTCTATCTTTTTTACAACCTACATTCATGATACCCAGTTCCGATAGGTCGGTTGGAGAGTTGTAATGGACGTGCAACACAAATTACGGGTATTCAAGTGTATAAAGACTCAGAGCTTCCTCATTTAAGCTACCGATTCATCTTAAAGTCATGAATCTGACAGTGACATCAATAATTTCGTGGGATGAACGATTTCTTGAAGACACACTTCCGTGACTTATGTAATCCATGATCAATGACTGCGGAGCAATGCAGTGTTATATTTGAGTTTTCGCAGCCCTAGATCCATAGACAGCGTCATATATCATATGTCAACGGAAATCCACTTACGACGTGCCTGCTGAATTCGAGGGTAGCTCCATTCCTCCACCTACAAAATGATATTTGCTTTTGAAGATTTAGAAGTATGAAGTATGGGTCACGATTGATATTCATAATAACTAGATGAGATTTAGCAAACTAACATGTCTGGTACCATTGTGTGAGTTTCGGATATGGCAAATGTAAGTGGTCTTCCATGCAGTGACTACACTCTAAGAAAGAATTACCAACGCTAGGAATATCAGCGATTTCGAATCCAGGGTATTGTTATTGAATGATATATAGAACATGAGTTGATCCATGTTAATGATCTCGATAAGACATACATGAAGGTGAATAGGAAAAATGATAGAGATAGGAAAAACGGAAATTTTTGAAGTTAATTTTGATCATCCGTCTCCCCGGTAGTAGTCAGTGTAACTTCAGGATGTACATAATACTTAACAGAAACTTTAACAAAATTCATCGTGAAAGTTTCATTAAAAATAATTGTTTTCATTAAGATTTCTTTAAAATTTTTACTTCCTTTTGTTGTGAGAAAAAATTGATTCAACATTTTCGTACTTCTTTGAAACATCATTGTTTTAATGATGCTATGGTAACTATATAAGGACATGCAGCCCCGCTTTGGTCGAAATAACATTGAATTTTCAGAATCACTATCATGCCAGTATACAGGTTTGAAGGCGATGTAAACATAAACTGTGTAGGTTTTTAAAGTGCTGAATAATTCGAAATCACAAAGGTTTACTCTCCTGGAACATGGCTTATTAATCGAGACAATCTATATTTGACCATAGAGGTTTTTGGAATAATCAAAAGAACACGTTTGCTCAACGCTATTTTTCCACTTCTCATCCACGAAAAGTTTTCATTCGATAAGGTTTGTTAATCTGTTTTAAAGAAGATCAAAACAGACTTTTTATACTGCTCTTTCTGCCTGCAACGTGGTGGATAGATTAGAAGGTAAAACTGAGTATAGTTAATCACTATATATTAGATTACACTGTAACAATTGAAATAAGACAAATTGCAGATGTTTATCTTGGAGGAACACTTTTAGCATATTACTCGACAAATGCCAAGGAATTTTTCTCACCATGTTCAAAAATGTGTTTGAGAACTATTCCTAAGAGAGATTTGCTGATGCTTAAGACGATTGATTTCCCAGTAACGTAACTATTCATTTTAACACTTTTAGGGTGTTTCCCCGAGACTAGAATATTCTGTTAGTTCTGCTATCAAATGTCACCCAGCTTCGTGTTATTGCACTTGCTGTGTAAGTTCGAATTTATTCTAAATCAACTGTTTTAGTATTCCTCTCCACAGTGCTGCTGTTACGATCCGTGAGTTTACACAGTCGCTTATTTTTCAAAGTTTCAAAATACACGACTTAATGCACTTCTGTTATAAATGATTACTTTCAAAAAGATCCTATTGAAAACTAATTATCCTCCTATTTAAATAACAAAGGTAAGGTTAATAATAGATATCGGCATGGGTTACTTACCAAACTTGTTGATCAGTCTTTCAGCACATAATATTGATACACTGGGTGAAAGTTTAGGGACGTTTTGAGCTTTTAGATGTTTATATTTTCACATGGTTTGCATTACTAATTACAGTTGATCAATCGAAGTAAGTATGTCAACTACAATATTTAACTTGGATGATTAAAGTTCGAGTGTCGTTAAATTCAATATCAAATTCCTAGCTGTATGCCAATTTCACTCGTTGGTTATGTTTTGTACAAGACTGAATATTGTATTTCGAGACGTTAGACGGAAACATTCTTTTCCGTAAACAACTTCCATTGCAGTAAGTGAGTAACCTCCCAATTCAGTCATACACGAGTGAAATAAAATATCACATGATCTCTGTTTTGTAAGCTGTTCCCGAATGATCATACACAAACATCCCACTAGAGTTGGACGTCATCAGGATAAATTTTATTCATTAAATAATTTTTATCCTTCGTAACAACGACTATCAAAATAGTAAAATCGTTAAAGTATACATGGTTGCCACAATAATACTAGTACACCTCTGAAAAGACTAGAAGTGAGAGCATAAAGCTTTGGTTAGTAATTCAAAACTTGATATAGTTAGCTTTCCGAAAAGTCTAATTACTTAAAATTTTAATTTTTACAGTTGCTAAAATAGCTCGTTTTTATTTGAATCTTGAATTTTACATTTTGAGTTGAGCAATTATTCAACTTCTGATTGACGTTTCGAAACAAAGACTCACTTTAAGTGTATCAAGACATGCTTTCAGACTTTATTAACAATATAAAACTGGAGACCAGAAGTTCTGGACAACTACTAATGAGCTTAAAAATAATTTCAACCGAAAAATAATTTGACTACCTGAAAAATTTACCACCTTGAGATATCATCTATGTCTTTTAGCTTCATCCTTTATAAGAAGCTAAATCATAAAGCAGTCCGATTTCATTTCCATTCACGTTGCTAAGTGCATTCATATAAACGTTATGGAGCCTTACCGTTCAGAGATGTTTACTTTGTTATGCATACGTGGCTTTATTAATCAAACTAAAAATCAGTCTTTGTATTTGAGTTTCTAGAGGTAAATCGACGTGAATTTTTCATTTATTGTGGCTGAAGTTGTTATAAATGAGAAACCAATGGATGAGAAGTGGGGTTTTTGGATTCTGTAACCTGACATAATGGGTTTTTTCTTATATTTCGTATAAGATAATTTAGCTTGAAAAGCACTTTTAAAGTAATCTCTTTAAGTCGATGGTCTACAGCCAAAAGCTAAGGAGTGATTTTTCATTATGTCAATAAAAGTTCTGACATTTTCCATTTTATAAAACAAGAATTTATAGACTTGTTTATTATGTATCAAGAGTTATTATACATATCACAGCATGAAGTTACTTTCATGAACAATCACTTAAGTGTATCTTTTATTTTTAGATGCCTTTACAAGCCAATGACACCGACACCAAGTTATCATCGAGCCACAGTTAACAGTGCTTTGAGATGCCGTTATCCTGAATCTGATGGGTCTAAATACACTATAGCATCTGATACTGCTAGTCATATAGCGAAGTCACAAAGTGCTTCAAGAACCTCTAGAAGCCCAAAGAGAGTAAGGTTCACATTACTTTTGGTTGCTTTCAAGAGCGTAATTTTATTGCATTTCAATGGAATAATATTCATTTATTATCATGTTTACTTTAAATAAGATAACTTAAGAATCGATTTTTAGCTTCATCTTGCAAATAATATTTGTTCAGTAAAAAGAATAATTTTCCGATTCATTTTGTTATTTATCCGATTCTAAGGCTATATTAAAGATTAATTTATTTATTTGTTTGTAAATTTTTTGTTCTGTTTTAAGAGACCCAACGTGAATGGACCATATTCGTATAGATCTCAATGTCGACCGAGATCATTATCTGCGCGTGGTTATCAAAGTGAGTTATGTTTCATTAATAATATTTACTATTGTTTCGCATACAAATACAAAATTACATTTTGGTGCATTATCTAAACGACAGTATCATAGCTTGAGCGAAAGTGGATCTAACATTGTCAAAGTTCTTAGTGGAAGTATCCACTTGTTGTACTAGAAATATAACTGACTATTTTTCACAGATATCAACTAGATGTTTGAGAATTAATGCCAAATACATATTTGTAAAAGCATTGGCTTTGTATTTTTGTCTAAAACTAAGTGTATTCAAGGGCGAATATCGCATTGTACATAGGTACTCAGTAAATGAAAGATGTGGATAAATAAGTAATATATAATAAGATATTATTATTATTATTATTATTATTATTATTAATGGCTTTATTCTATATTATAATCTGGTACAATAAAGAATTCTCAGCACGAGTTATTTCAACAAGTTTTTCCCAAAAAATAAAACCAAAAAAAAAAAACAACAACAAAAAACAGAAATAAAATATAAAAAAGGTTTAAGAAAATCTGAGTTTATACAAATTATCGAATATGAGACATGTTTAAGAAGACAGGTTATTTACTAGGTCAACTCTAACAGCCTGTTCGTCACAAAGTAAATTAGCTAAGTAAGGTATTACAGAACTTTTATAGATTTGCTTGCGTGCATAAATTTTAATGTATTTACGTCTCGTTCTACCAGAAGATATACAAGGAGAAAGATATGAATGAAGCGGATGGTTAGTATCTGATAAGATAACACCTGCAAAGAGTTTGCAAGACTTAAGATGTCTATCCACAAGCATATTAACAATGACTTCAAAAGATTCACCACATACCTTGCAAATTGCCTTCAACACTCTACGCAAAATAGCAAAGTCTTTTCTCAAAAGCCCAGGAAAGAATAATGGAGAACAATATAAAATAATAGGTAATATGCAGGAGTTTACAAATTGTAAGAGTAAATGGCGAGTAATCCCAAAAGCATGCAGCCTCTTTATGTAATATGTCAAACGGTAAACTTTTTTCGATAACAGCAAAACATGAGAAGACCAAGAAAGATCAGAGGAAAAAAGGACACCAAGATATTTGACCTTCGACACTGTGTTTATTAAGGAGTCTCCAATGGCACAAGCATTATGGGATCCCAAAATAGAGCGTAGGTTCTGTCCATGTCTCAAGCTAAAATTAACAGCTTGACATTTAGATGGATTGAGTAAGAGACCATTACCAACAGACCACCTTTCAATACGAGATAAAAACTCATTCATTTCTATAGGATGTAAGGAGGTAGAAATTGGCATACATACGGTGAGGTCGTCCGCATATTTTACAAAGGTGTTTTCTGTGGAAGATGGCAGATCATGCAAAAAGAAAGAGAAGAGTAGAGGTGAAAGAACAGCTCCTTGTGGCACACCTACAGTAGACAGTAGAGATGTTGAACACTTTCCTTCAAAGACAGTGTACTGTTCTCTTCCAGAAAGGTAGGAACATAGCCAATTGGTTATCCAGCTGTCAGTATCGACGCTGATCAGCTTGTTAAGTAAGGTGTGTCTTGGAATAGAATCAAAGGCAGAAGTAAAGTCCACATATTGACAATATGTGGAGAGATTTTTCACTGAAACAAAACACGAAAGTATGGAACAACGTGAAAGTTGATATTTGAAGACGGATAAGAAGATGAATGTATCTTGTAAAGAATTTGTTGTCATTTTACTTTTATCCTTCAATGAAATCAAGACTTTTGGTTTTCATTCTTTTTTGTGCTTAAATTACATTCCAATTTTGTGTATTTAGTAGTGGATTAAAATAGAATTGAGTTTTTTATAATCATCTTTAGAGATATTTTTCAGCTAGTTGCTTACGTTAGTTGATAAAATTGAAGTGATATTAAGGAGGTGTGACGACATTAAGGTTTCTCCCTCGGAAAACCAGCATAAAAGCGATGCTGCTTTTCCACAAGGAAGGGTGCGTTTAGTAAACCTTGACCCTAAAAATGCACGCCTCACCTTATCCCAAGGATTTCGGTCTCCGGCGGTAAGGTCCCAACAAGTACGGAGCTAATACGAAAATTATTCACAAAACGGTCGTGTGTGACCGGTCTCAAGCAGTTGTCCGTTGAGCACGACGGTCACGCTTTCATGTCACTAGGATTAACTCTAACCTCAGTTACCTCTCAGGTACCTCTAGAAGAACCCTTCCACGATATGGACAACCGGAAAGTGATAACCACCCTCATACCTCTAACAGCGCTCAAGGTCACTGTATTCACTTTCTTTCGCTAAACCTTAATTAAGTATTATCTAGAATACGAATAGGAAGATGTGCCTAAGAACGTACATAACTGGCGTTGCAGTGACGGATAAAATAGTACAAGAGCAGTAAATCAGTTGATGCACAGCAAATTATTTTTATACAAACTTGTTTAACGGAATTTTTATATTAGGTTGTACGAAGTTTGTCTAGTGAAACATTATTCTGAATGAAAACATCTCGAGATTGGTTTTAGTTTTATTTCTAAACCTATATTCCTCAAAGTCAATTCGTTTAAACATTACTTCATTATCAATTATAAATTCTTTATTTGAACACATCCCTGATATTGTACTTAGTAGATCTTACTAGCATTCTCCAGCATTGGTTGAAGAATGCTGGTGAGCGGCCTATGCTCCTCCACGAGGGATAACAGGCGTAAGTAAGGTCTTACTAAACATTTGTTTCTATAGGAAAAGTGATTTCGGAATAGCTAGTTCATCCTCTGAGTAAATTTCATGATTGAATAAATATAAGTACAAAGTATTATGAAAAATAAGTTAAACAGAGTTTCTTATTAATTAAATCCAACCATCTAACCTTAACTTTTGGGGATAAAGTTGACTATTAACTAAATGAATTTCATGATAGATCTAGTGAATTATCATTAATGTTTCTACTACACAAATGTTTATTTATTTATTTAAACATAAAAAAATATTTGGTACAAGGAGGTATCAAATAGATATGCGTCATATAAATCATTCGATTTGTATGAGGGCTAGGATACTGTCCAGGTGCTTAGACCGAAACAAGGGGTTTTCTTAGAGGGTCACAACTAGGTCCTTTAATCGAAAGATCTAATCAACAAGACAGTGCAGATATGTTAGTAGATGCAGTTCCATGGTAGCCACTGAGCAACAACTAGTTTATACTCTTTTTGTTTCCTTAAAATTCTGGAGCCCATGTGCACCATTGGTTTGGAATTAAAGTTTTCCAACTCCCCTATGTGAACCCTCTGTGTCCATCAACCCGGGTAAAGCACCAGGCATCCACTTTTCGTCCTCTTAATTTCGTAAACAAGAGTAATGCCTTGAGATGGCAATGAGTAGGATTTCCCTGAAAGTGTTTGTATGCACATAGTCATGTGAGAGTATTTCGAGGAGGGAGAGTAGATTCTCTCCACTCTCGACCGTAAAAAGGTATTTGCAGGCACACAAATGTCTACAGTCCAATGAGGGAAAATCATCAATGTTTGTTTACCATTCCCCTGTGTTTTTTTGAGGGGGGGGAAGCGGAAATGTACATTTATACAATAAAAACTTATTTAGTCTGACTTCATTAAAGTAACTAACTGTCTTTAAAAATAAATTTTCATTTTTTAAAACCTTTCAGATTACAATGAAATTTCGGTAAGTTCTGTCTTGATTCATCTTTTTTCTTCTTCATTATACTACTAATTTAGTATTTAGTGTATATTATGTAATTGAATTTTTTAAAAGTGTCCTATTGTGGGGCTCCTCAGAAGTGCGCATCCATGATCTCGCCTCGCGAACGAGATTCGAACTCAGGACCTACCAGTCTCGCGCCAAAGCCCTTAACCGATAGACCACTGAGCTGGCATCCATGGTGTTAATTTCTAACTTCAACGGCCGTCCAGTGCTTCAAGGTTTTGCTCTGGTGGTTTAGCTTCAATTGACTCACGCTATATTTTATGAAAATAAACATCTACCTCAATCTATGATAAGTAACATTTCTTTCCTGATTTCATGAATTCAGTCAATTCAATCACAATCATCTCAGAACGCTGGTACATATATCCATTAATTCAAGTTGCCTAGTCCTATCAGTATATGAAGAGATGAAATTATTAATTTAGATGACAGAGTATTAAAGGTATCAACATTAGTATCAGTAAAAGTAGATTCAAGAAGAATGAATTGATTGAGTAAAGACATACGAAGTGTCTCTAGAATTCAAGATCTATGGGATGACATATAGAGTAAACTTATCTGGTCCATTGAGATCAATTCTTAGTTATATTATTAGTAAAGAAAAACAAAAGGTATTCATTCGGATAATATAATGATTACTTTTTTTATACTTTAATTTCTTAGTTGAATTCATGAATCAATTGAAGCTAGACCACCATGGGAAACCTGGAAGTGTTGGACGGCTGTTTTGTCCTAATCTGAGACTTCTCAGAAGTGCGCATTCATCATCCCGCCTTGAGAGATTCGAACTCAGGACCTATCAGTCTCGCTCCGTTCAGTGTTTCCAGGTTTTCCATAGTGATCTAGTTTCAGTTGACTCATGGATTCCACTATAAAATTACTAAAATCTCATAATTTACATCTTAAATTCTCTGTGAATTTCTTCATCTTACAAATCTAAGTTGTAGTTATAATACTTTCTTTTATTAAGACAAAGTTGATTAGAAGTTATTGTATTGTTACCAGGGTAACTTAAATGATAGTTTTGAAAAATCGATTAAGATATAGACAAAAGATTGAAAGATTTAAAATAGATGATTACATAATTAGGGAAGTAAACATATTCAACTTTATTTTCACTTAGCATTACTTGTTTGAATCTTCCCATTGATGTTTAGGACTGCAACTGGTCAGCCTCTTATTAGCATATGTGCATACTGTGCGTATTGTCTCGATATAGCCTTATTTCACAAGCATTATAAGCAAAAATGGATGGTGGCTAGCAGTGGAATGGAGGAAGCACGTTTCTTTCTATTTGGGACTCGTCGTCTGGATGTACTTGCATCTTAGAGTTGATGTTCACTCTGCGAGGGACTCGAACCCAGCACCGTTCGCTTCAAACTCCATCGCGTTATCCACTCATCTACTGAGTTCTGTGCAATGGAGTGAAGTTGAAATTTACTAAGTATTATTTGTTTGAATCTTCCCATTGATGTTTAGGACTGCAACTGGTCAGTCTCTTATTAAACTTTAATTTATTATATAACAAAACTATGAATTAGAGAAAATCTGGAGAAAAGGAATGACCAAATTAACTAATTGCTTCGTTACTAGGACAAAATTACTTACTTGTGAACATATAAATCTACTTCCATATACTTTTTAGTTATAGTTTTAGTAAATTCGAGAATATTACAGTCTCCAATTTACCTGCTTAACATCCTATGCGAATGACATGTCTGTAAGTCACACTGCTGACAGGAGTTTGTGGGACCACTGAGCACCAGGAGTTTTTTTGAGGGCCACAGCCGGAGCATTCAACCTAAAGCTCTGATCCATAAGGCAGTGGAGCAACGTAAGGATATGCAGTACCATGGTAACCGGTGACCAACAATTGGTTCATACGCCATTTGTCCCTTCAGGAACCTGGAGCTCATGTGCATCATTGGTTCGGAATCAGGGTTTTCCACCTCCTCTAGGTGAACCCTCTATGTCCACAAACCCGGGTAAAACGCCAGACATTCGCTTCTGGTCCTCTCAATTTCATAAACAACAATAATGCTGTGAGGAGGCAGTGAGTAGGACTTCCCTGACAGTGGTTGTATGAGCTTGGCCTTCCGAGAGGATTTGGAGATGGAGAGCGATTTGCGATAATGATGAACTGCGTTCTATTGCTTGCTGTGGATAACTGTCTGACTCCGGACAACACTGAACTCCCTTAGTTGCATCCTTTACTACAACTCCTGAAACTGTACCTCGATATCAGTCACTACTAAAATTTGACAATTGTTGGTGTATGGAATTAACGGAGGAGTCCCCTATTACAATAAAACAGACACCCACTATTTCAAGGTTTCCAATGATTATCGTACTAAGATTAGTTGATGTATATTCTATGAAAATTCAACAGTTTTTTTGATGAAGTTTTGTTATCTGAGCTGGATGATTTGGTCGTGGAGCTTTCATCGTTCTATTGAACAACATCATCAGCATAAACTTTACATAGATGTGAAATTTTAGAATTTCTTCACATATGACTCACAGCTTGTTCTGTAGACCTTGATATTAATGTCCATAATTTTTCTCATTGAACAAACATAGAAACTAAAAACCAAACCTATGGGATATACAACCAGTATAAATGAGCAAACAATGATAGATTTATGATCAACAAGGATCAATCAACATTAAGATCTACAAAACAAGCTATAAACTATATGTGAAAAAATTAAATCACTTCACTTCTATCTGAAGTTTGTATTGATAATGTCATTCAGAAGAACAATAAAGGTTCTACGATCAAACTATCTTGTTTAAAGAACAAAACTCCGTCAAAGCCATTCACCTAAGCTACAAATCTTCGACACCATCTCAAAAATCATTAGTTTCATGGAATTTCAATATATAAAGTATGATTAATGAACAAAATATTCAACAACCGTTCAATGATTAAAGAAATAAATTATTTTTTTGATTGATTTTAAATATATACCTGTAAGGATGGCTCGTTGGCAAACTCAAGGATGCCTCAAAAAGCCCAGAAATAACCGAAGACATTCTATCCAATCACCACTAGAGGAATATCCTAAAATATTGACTTATGGCTTCTATATTGAGTGAATAAGAAGGACCCCCTAAGTACCTATTGGCTATCCGAAATGATGATTTACTTTTAACCAAAAAAACTATAAATACATGAGGTTCTTGTATATTCCTACTTACTAATCTTCTATCTCCTCATTTTATGACTTTGGAGGGTTCTAACGTTCGAGTGCTCAAGTATTACACGACATACTAAGAATCTAAATTCTAGATATAACAATACCATTATTGAAGTTGATACAATTGTTACTTACTTACTTACTTACTTACTTACTTACTTACGTCTGTTACTCCCAATGGAGCATAGGTCACCGACTAGCATTCTCCAACCCACTCTGTCCTCTCCCTTCCTTTCTAGTTCTATTCAATCGTTCTTCATTCTTCTCATGTCTGTCTCCATTTCTCGGCGTAATGTGTTCTTTGGTCTTCCTCTTCTCCTTTAACCTTCAGGATTTTATGTAAGGGCTTGTCTTGTGACACAGTTAGATGCTTCCCTCAATGCGTGTCCTACCCACTTCCAGCACTTCTTACTGATTTCTTCCTCCACTAGATGGACTCTAGTTTGTTGTCTCTCACAGTAACTTGTTGCTGATAGTGTCTGGCCAACAGATCTGAAGTATTTTGCGTAGACAACTGTTAATAAACACTTGTATCTTCTGGATAATGGCTTTCATAGTTCTCCACGTCCCCGCCCCATACAATAGAATTGATATAATTGTACCATATGATTAATACTACTTAATAATAATAATACAATCAATAAAAATAAGCCAATCATATGACTGATATAATCTTTATTATTGTTTTTTTTGTGTATTTTATTAGCCTATTAATTCATTATCTACATGGGATCTTCGTGAACGAACAATTCGAGATGCACAAGATCGCAGGTAGTTTATCATTATTGTACTCTTCATCTTTTTTTTTGTAAATGGGAAACAAAAAAAAAACACATAATAATGTACTTTAATAATTAATTGCATTTTAAGTTTATTGAAAGAAAAACGATAATCAATAATTAGACACCATGGTAACATCATCTTTCAGCTGAATGATAACAATTTTAGGTTTATTCTCTCTCTCACCCCCCCCTCTCTCTATATATATATATAAAGTGAATTGAATAGATAAAGCCAATGTGATTTATAATTCTTTAAGGTTGATTTATATATATATATATAAAAGAAACGTTAACTGGCTTTTAGCTTAGTTAAGAGTGATATAAGCTGAATATGTTTCAATGCTCTATTAAGTCTAATTATAAATTTCTTCAATGAAAAAAGAGGAGAAGATATTTAATGGGGGGTGGGTTGGGTAGGGTATCAGTCGATACCTAGTTACTTAATCAGTCATAGTCTTAGTAACTAAGATAAAAATGATGATGTTTATTACTGTATTCAATGATATACTTCTGATTGTCAGTCAGTCAGTCACAATATAGAACTTCGTACGTACGTACATCAGTTCAAGTTGCCATAGTGGTAGAAGTAGTAGGGGTTTAAGCAGTAATGTGAAAGATTAGGGTTTGAAGATGTTATTGAAGGAGTATAATCCAATGAAATAAATTTGGAAAGAGAAAAAGGACAGAGACATGAAGAATTCAGATAATAATTACGGAGAACAGAAATAGTGGATGCACCTGCGCCATAGCAAACAATTTTGAGCCATGTCATTCAAGGTCTATAACCATCGAATGCTAGTGAAGAATGTTTCGTACAAACGAAATTCCATGTCTTCTATTCATGAAACTAGTGACTGGTCAGAATCAATCCATAAGAAATTATATAAAACAATTGTAAACAGCTATCCAAATGTCTACCACTTGATTAGCTCTTATCGCACGTTTTTGACATCTGCCATTCCTTAAAATGATAGACAACAACAATGTAGTAGTGATAGTGTAATGAACGAGAACATAAATGGGGACAATTGAATGTATTCTAATACAAAACTACAGAACATCTTAGTAAAATCTTAGAACCATACGGTAAATACTTCATTTGCAAAATATCAATCAATCGTCTCAGACTTCATCGTTCTTTCGTTTCCACGCCAATCATTCTGTGTTCTCGTTCTCATTTCTTTAATCTTTTTAACCTTTTGCCACTAGGCATTTCACTTTCGTTTGCTGATACATACTACTTATATCTATCAACATCAGTAGCACACACCACAATAGTAAGCCATCTTAAATCTTACAGATCTTTAGCTTCATGATAAGTTATCGACTTTTTCATATTAGGATATAAATAATGCAAGTGACTAATCAGAAAATTTAGTCACTTAGAAAAGATCCGGAACGCCGAAATTTACTAGAAAGTTTATGCAGTTAGTAAGTGGTGAAGAAGATTTGTAACTCAGCTGAATGATTTAGATAGAGTTTTGTTCTTTGAGCTCCACGACCAAACTATTCAGCTCAGAGAACAACACACCATCCAAATTGTTTTTCAAATAAGCTACCATCTTACGAACCAGATATATATTTTAATAAAATGTATACCGGCTCAGTGGTCTATTGATCAAGTGCTCTGGCGCGAGACTGGTAAGTCCTGGATTCGAATCTAGCGAGTGTGGGATCGTGGATGCGCACTGCCATTGAGGAGTCTCATAATAGAACGAAACGGTCGTCCAGTGCATTCAGGTTTTCCATGGTGGTCAAGCTTCAATTGATTCATGATCTCAACTTTATAAAATGTAAACTATAAAATTGATTGATTATCGTTCTTTTCTTTTTTTCTTACAATGCTGTTCACTCCAATTACTTCTACTATTACCATAACAATAATCAATATCAATCAGTGATCGTTATTGGCATTTGTATAGATTTTGGCAAAATGAATATGATAGATTACGTTTACATAGATGTTAAAGTAAAAACAAGATGATTGGATTAATTGGGTTCTTCCTTAAAGAAAAACTTTTAATGTAGATTACTATTACTTTTACTATTGGAACTTGAATCTATTCTCTTTCACAGCATTATCCATTTAGATAGAATTACATTATTTTATATGTATACTATTGGTCTGTATAATACTTGTACAAGGTACTTGTCAGGAACAAAAACACATAGAAAAACAAATGTTCATTTTGTTTTTCTTTTTAGTTCTACAGATTATAATTGAAATAATTGATAACAATTTTGATGACATATATACTACTTAATTTTTATTTAGATCTACAATAGATTTTTTTAGTATTAATTATTATACTACTGATTATACTGATTACTTATAAAAGAAGAGTGTGAACACTTTATTATTATTATTATTGTATTTTTTTAAAAAAAAGAAACATTCTTTTACATCTTTATTTTCTATATTCTATAAACATATCTATACACCATTTTATTAATATAATGTGCCTTAAATTCAAATCATAGAACTGATGAATAGATATACTACTGAAATACATCTATCTAGTAAATTCAACGAAGAAAACAACGGAATAGAAGTATTATATTAAGATTTATAAAAAAATTATCTTCTATACAATAATAACAACAAAATGAAGACCAGATTTTGAATTATCTAGTTCATATTTAAAATAATCTATGGTATTTTTATCCTTATTTTCTTTCGATTTCATAATGATACTGTTTACTACTTATTATATGATATTTCAGTAGTATAAAATTACAAACTAAAAATGTTTCTATGGATATATATTTAATTTTTGAATGTATGAATTAGTAATGTTTTAATTATGAAATTAGTGTAATAATAATAATAATGAAATATAAAGATTAGTTTCATAAATTTGTGTCATTCATTCTTTACAAACAACATATAGGATCCGATTGGGTTATTCGAAATCCTCCCCACCTTTAGTCATAATTGATATTAATAGAAGGGTACTGAAAATTGAAAAATTGATATACAATAAATAGTAGTAATAATAATAACAACAATATTCACTTCGGGCTTGTCTTGTGACGCAATTGGGTGATTTACTCAAAGTGTGCCCAATCCACTTCCAGTGCTTCTTACTGATTTCTTCCTCCATTCGATGGAATCTGGTTTTTTGTCTCCCACAGTAACTTGTTGCTGATAGTGTCTGGCCATCGGATCCGAAGTATCTTGCGTAGACAACTGTTAATAAACACCTGTATCTTCTGGATGATGGCTTTCATAGTTCACCACATCTCCGCCCCATACAGTAGAATTGTCTTCACATTTGTGTTGAAAATTCTAACCTTGGTGTTGGTTGACAATTGTTTTTGAGCTCCAGATGTTTTTCAGTTGTAGGTATGCTGCTCTTGCTTTGCCGATCCGCGCTCTCACATCTGCATCTGATCCACCGTGTTCATCAATGTTGCTGTCCACATATGTAAGACCATGATTGGAATCTTGGAATTACTGGATGGCTGTTTTGTCTTAGTATTAGACTCCTCAGCAGTATGCATACACTGTCCCAAGTGCGGGGTTTGAATTCAGCACCTTCGGTCCCCCGCTCGAACGCTTAGCTTCTAGACTACTGAGCTGGTATTCAACTGTGTTAATGTCTAACCGAAATTGTTTAATTCAAATCACAACAATTTATATTTATTTAAAATCTAATTAGTTATTAAGACATAATAGGGAGAATAATTTACTAAGGTTATCTTTGTAAAAGTCATATATAAATAATTGGTTACAGATTTTATTAAAAGTGAATGTAGAAACCTATACAAACGTACAATACACAGTACACATACAACTCCTTAACATCAGTTGTTATCCTTTGAAGCAAATAATAAATGACTGGTAATCTGGAAGATAACTACAGAATAAAAATGAGTGAATTCATTAACTACCGTAATTTGATATCTTTTATGTTTGTTATAATTTGTTCCAATACTCCAGATTATTTGAATATACTGATAACGGTCTTTGGAAAAATTATAATTATATTACGACTAGTACTACTACCACTACTACTACGACTAGTACTATGACTACTATTACTACTACTACTACTACGACTAGTACTACTACCACTACTACTAGGACTACTACCACTACTACTACTACGACTACTATTACTACTACTACTACTACTACTACTACCACTACTACTAGGACTACTACCACTACTACTAGGACTACTACCACTACTACTACTACTACTACTTAGTTTGAATTTTTGACGACTGACGTTAATTAAATCTGACTATTCTGAGAACCTATTGAATTATGAAATTTGAATATATAACTGAGTCAAATAAATATAGATTGAGGTTTTTTTACCAGATTGATTGGTTTATAATATAGAGATTTCCAGTGTTATCTCTGTTTAAGCGTTATTATATTTACATCTTTTAACACTATGAACTTATTTTGATTCCATGCTTTCAATATTATCTCCATGGTAAATCTCTTTTAGTTTTATAAGAGTTGAAGCCATAGCTTTGAACAACATATATCAAATTACTATCTATGATTATTCAGTGTATATATTACCAATACTCATCTTGGTATCGTTTGTTTGTAACATTCTATACAAGCAAACAATATCAAGTGAATTTAAACTTTACCCTATTACTCAAGCAGATGGTTATCAGGATTCAGTAGGTAAGTGGATAACAAGATCACGTTTAAAGCAAACGGTACTGGATCCGAGTCCTAGATTGAATGTCAACTCATGGATGTAGGTACATTAAGCTGATCAGTTCAAAATAAGACGAAACAGGCATCATGGATTCCACTGCTAACCATCATCCATCTTTGCTTATAATACTCATCTACTTATAAATTATAATCTTTACTAAAATCTTTGTACTTGGGCAAATTATCATAAAAATGTACTTTTAATAGTAAAAAAAATAGTAATGGAAACGATAGGCCATAATCATAATAATAAATTATACTCATTGGAATAATTACAAAAAAGTACTTTTTAAAAAAAAATTCAGGTCAATGAATCAAGTGTGGATAGATGGATAGATGGATGAATGGATGGCTATCTTACAAAGTACAATTAGGGATCTTTGATCATAATATTATTGGTAATAGAAATGAAATGGTACAATAAATGACAATATACCATAATTATTATCAGAAGGGGTTTTTGTGGAGATTTCAGTATTTCCATAGTTGAAAGCATAAGTCAATTGAAGCTAGACCATTATGGAAAACTTGGAAGCACTGAACGGCCGTTTCGTCCTATTGTGGAACTCCTCAGCAGTGCGCATCTACGACCTCGCCTCACGAGATTCGAACCCAGGACTGTTGAACGGTTGCTCAACTTCGTGGATTGATTGGAGTTAGACATAAACACTACCGGATGCCGGCTCAGTGGTCTGTCGGTTAAGTGCTCTGGTGCAAGACTGATAGGTCCTGGGTTCGAATCTAACGAGTGCGGGATCATGGATGCGCATTGCTGAGGAGTCCCATAATAGAACGAAACGGTCGTCCAGTGTTTGCATGTTTTCCATGGTGATCTAGCTTCGATTGACTCACGCTTTCAACTATGGAATATACTATAAATTCATTGAAAGTTATTATACAACAAGATAATTCCACAGTAAGATGTGGATATTGTAAAGAATTCATGTTCAGCATTCTTGAACATGAAAATATTTAATATTAACGATTAACTTTAGCCAGACAAACAGTAAAATAAAAAAATACTGAACATATGTTTTGTTTGGCAATGAAAGCACTTCATAGTGAGCATATATATCTTCTTTAAGGATTGTACTCAGGAAATTTTGAATTGGTTGTGAGAACACAGCTTCCAGCTGAAGAGAAAATTAGGAAAAGCCGTTGGAAGTGGATAGGACATACGCTAAGAAAATCATTAATGTGCATTACAAGGCAAGCCCTAACTTGGAATCCGGAAGGGAAACGGAAAAGAGGAAGGCCAAAGAACAAATTACTCCGGGAAATAGAAGGAGATATGAAAAGAATGAATAAAAACTGGAAGGAACTGGAAAGGATTGCTTGGGACAGAGTTGGATGGAGAATGTTAGCGAGCACACGTCATTGAGATTATAAAGTTACCATCTAATGACTTATATTTCAGCAAGATGATTAAGATTAATAAAGTAATTTTACTAGAGAGATTTACGGTTGATTAATAACTGGGTGGTCATGTATGTCAGGTCCTTCTTAGTGCAGATCGAATCCTATCGATGAAGTTTCAGTATCGCCACCAGCCTAGGTGACCCAACATTGAGTGAACTATGTTGAGATAAGATGGTGGTTGGAGGTAGTCATCAGCAAACTCTGGACTTAGGTTTCGTACTACTTGGCACTCATAACTTCTCGTAACTGGTAACCTCTTAGATTATCCTATCAATATTAGATTGTTAAGACTTTAATGAGTTGAATTCTACAGTATAAATAATTAGCAACAATTAATTTATAAAAAATATCGATTTCTTTCCCATTCCCCAAAAATAATTTCAAATAATCTCTATGGTGGTTACATTTAGAGTATATTTCTATATGATAGCGCCTTCCACAAAGAATCCGGTTATGGGTTGTAGTTGATCAACCATCGGTTCAATTAAACGTAATCTATTTAACTTTATATCATCTAGTGTCGTAATGAAGTCTGAGACGGTTGAATGACATTTTGTAAACGAATTATTTACTATTTGGTTCTCCAATTTTCTTAAGATGTTCAGTGATTTTGTGTTTGAAACTACTCGACTGTTCCCAATTGTGTTCTCGTTTGCTACATTACAATACAGGATAATGATCATTGTAAAACTGGTAACTAGTTGAATAAGAAAACCATGATAGTGAAAAGAGGAAGATCATTGTTTTGTCAATCATGCGAAAACCAGTAATATGAATAACCTTTAAAAGAGTACTTTAACTATGTTAAAACATTGCCTAATTTATGTAATATTTGATTGAAATCATGAACTGATCGATGTTAGATCACCATTGAAAACCTAGAAGCACTGATTGGCTGTTTTGTTCTGGTATAGGACTCCTGAGTAGGGCTCATCCACGACCCTACCCGCCAGACTCAAACCTAGGATCTTAGATCATGCGTGAACTCTTAAATTGTAGACCATTGAGCCGATAACCAACGGTATTAATTCCTTACTCCAACCAATGAAGTATTGTTATGAATAACAATACAAGTGGCGACAATCGAATGTATTACAATACAAATATTACAGAATCTTTTAGTAAAATCTGAGAATCATACAGTAAATACTTCATCTGCAAAGTGTTAATCGACTGTCTCATAATTTATTGTTCCTTCGTATCCACACCAATCACTCTCTTTTTTTCTTTCTTTCTAACCGTCTGCCGCTAGACATTCCACTTTATATTGATGACACATACTACTTATATCTGTCGACATCAGTAGCACACACCACGGTAATACTAATAATCATGATGAAGTTACTTTATCTGAATAAATATTTATATTGTAATTACGAACAAATTGCATTCATCGACAGTTTTGTGATGATTAAGGCATTTATGATAAGCGTTTACTTTTGAAAGAAATGATGATTTCCGCTGGATTCGAATCCACATTATTACCAGAAGTAATACCATTGAGGAATTTGTGCCACCAGTGACTTCAGTAGACGGGAAGTTCACGATAATCTCCTGCTCTTAAGAGATGAGCGTTAACCGTTGAAACCTAATTTTTAGGTGAATCAACTATTATTTAAACCATGTAAATCATTCATTACTTCAATGGGTACTTTTTCTTTTTAAAACACCTGAATAATATATGCCTGAATTTTGAATCCCTCTCCATAAATTAGACATGTCAGTCGACTTATTAAT